GGAGTTTTAGTAGAAAGACTTGTGATTCATTAATGCTGCTCTATCCTTTGTGTCTCCCAGAGTGTATGAATGTGCCTGCAAATGTATTCTTTTTACCTTGAGTTTGATTTACATATGTCATCTCTGCATTAGCTATGCAGAAATAGTGAGAGTAGGATGCCTTCTGGCAGGGTGTTTACCTAACAACCTCAGAAATATGTTTTTCTCCAAAAGACCTTTGGCTTCTCTTAGAAGATGTGTAGGAGTAATTGGTTGGTAATAGCCCTGCTCAGGGACATTGCTTTATCAATGAAATTGTACAGCACAGCCCATGCAAGTGTGGCAGCTCATGGGTTATGGTTTTAATATCCCGTGTTTGGTCCAACCAAGTTGATCTGATGATTTTTAATTTTTTAATGTACATCCTATAAAATATCTATTCTATTTTGGGGTTAAAAACATATGCTTTAAGAGGAATCCCTGGTGCTCTCTGAGCTTGGCTGTTTTCTTGCAGATGTTTCATTACCAAACCTAGGTAACAAAACTAGGTTCAATGCACTGATGATGTTACCTAGTTTTGGTAATAAAAAGAAAACAAAAGCAAAAACAAGCAAGTTCAGAGAACACCAAGGACTCCTCATTTCAACTCTGAGCTACAAATATTCTCCTTTATTGGTACTATAAGCTTTATTAAAATCCAATTCATAGTCTTTTCCTGCATGGTCCACCACCACACTAATTTTTAATTTCCTTTCCATGACCTCTTTGTAGAAGAATTTGACTTGTGTTTTTCTCCTTTGAGTTTTTTGATCTCTGGTCTTTCTCCAACTTGCAATTATCTATAATTAAGATTTTTATTGTGGGCTTAGGTCATAAAACAAGAGCAACTTCTTGAAGCCTTGCTTTAGTAAAAAGATTGTAAGAGTAGCTGATGCTGGCTATGCACTATTTGCTATACAAAGTAATAAGTGTTTTATTGTTAATTTGCATCTGGCAGATTTTAACTAATACACAAAGTAATTAAGGAGATAATAACTAGGATGAGATTTATAACATTTTGCAGTCCTAAATTATCATTAAAATTGGTCTAAAATCAAAGAGGTTATGATTTTGAATTATTAACATTATCACCTTGAGGCAAGCTAAGGTGTTCTGATAAAGTACAATCTAGTCTATCATGTTGCAATGAACTGCTTAAATGCTCCAAGTTTTACCAGTTTTACTATTCATTAAAATCTTAAGTTCAGAAAATATGTAGTATTTTTATTTTCCCATTTCTGGGGTTATGATTTAATTTTTGTTGTGCAAACTATCTTATAATACCGCAAACTCTGTTATATTTGCACAGACATGATGCATGGATTACTCTAGGATATTTGAACTCCTAAACATTTGCAGGACATTTCTTTGTTAAGAACTAATGTAGTGGTACATTAGTAGCACACAGAAAAACAGGCACAGCAGTTAATGTAGCTTATAAAGTGGTAGTTGGCTAACTCCCATGTTACTCCATGCAAACTACAGGTAATTTACAGACTCTGTAAAATTCAAACTCAATTGTTGGTGGCAATATACGCATTCATGGCAATTTCATGGACTCATCCGTGAAGATTGTTGGGTGGTTGGTTTGGGTTTTTTTGAGTATACTTGGTGTGACATTAGTTTCTTCCAACAATTGACTTCCTTGACTTTCCAGTCTAGCCAGACCCCTACAATTGCATTTTATTACAAGAATTTCCCTCACCTCATCATTCTTTCAAAGACCCTTGATATGTATCCTCTTGTGATACATAGCAACAATTACTTTGAAGTAATGCAGACCATTTTTTAGCCATCACTAAAACCTCAGAAAGATACACAAAAAGTAATAAGGCAGTTCTTCAGCTTTTCATCATGTAATTGAAAGTTTTTCTTTTTTTCCCCATCTAAAATATATATTCTATTTTCTCCTTTTCTCCAAAGATTCTTGATTGGATCAGCTCAATTTAATTGTGAAAACAATTGATATGAAATCTATTTACTGGCCTACTGGTAGATAAGCAAAAATGTTTTAACTACAGTGCTGTTAGCAGTATTGAAAGACCAGCTTTCTTTGTTATTCAAAGTTAAAAAGTCAAAGGTTATGTTAAAAAACCAATAGTTCCAAAATATCTTTCTGCCTACCTGATATTTTATGTCAGCATGTGTCTTAGAGTCAGCATGTGTCTTAGAGTCAGTGTTAATTCCCTGCAGTTTTCATGACAAGATTTCAGAAGTGGTTTGCTATTGCCCAAGATCATCCAGTTGGCTTTGTGCTTAAGGCAGAGCTAAAATTCACAGTCTCTTGGTTTCTAGTCTGATGCCTTAGCTGCTACACCAAACATCCAAATGCCTTCTTATTTGGTCTAGAGGACATCAATGACAATGATGACATCACAACTGTCCGCAACGTCATCAAGTGATTATCAAGCATCAACCATCTCCCCTGATGAAATACTTGACATTTCCTGCATCGGGGTTTCCCGCATCGGCCCAGAGTTCAGAAACAGAGATGGCTCTGTGCCCCATGCTTCTGCAGGGTCATTTGCAAAAATGAATCAAGCAAACGTAAATTCATTTATATTATAAATTCACTTGCCAAAAGCAACACCAACCATTAGAACCTCAGTTCTCGTCCTGACCTAATCATACACTAACATGCCCGCTCCTGTTTACTCTGCACAGAACTCAAAACACATTGAGACAATGGAGAGAAGGACCTGTACATTGACTGCCGTACTGACTGTATCAAAAGTTAGTCACACAACCAGGGACTTCCGGTTTGAGCTTCTTCAGAAACAGGCCAAAACCTCGTCTCTCCAAGGCTTCAATCCGTGTTCACCGCTAGTGCCCCGAGCCAGCTGGTTTTGGGGCTAACCTACCCGTAGAGGTGGTGAAGAGGGGGGAGACTGCCAGCAGGGTTGAGGAGAGCCACATCTCTCCTCCCCAACTGGCTCCCTTTCCCGAAGGCGGTTGTAGCAGTGGTCAGAAATGGCCACCACAAAGAAAATCTCAACCAGAAAAGAATGTGCAGGAGGAAGAAAAGAAGAGAAAATTTTGGTTGACCAGGTCAAACTGCAAAAGCAACAAATAAGGTACCCTGGAATTTAAACTTAACAACATTGTTCCCAAAGAAGATTTTGAAGCTGCGAAGGAGAGAGAGAGAAGGGAAAGGATTAGGTTTTTTTTTCTTCCCTTCCTTTTACTGATTGCTAAGAGACTTAAGCAAGAAATTGAAAAAAAATCCACTTTGACATTAATAGGCATCTAAGCTGAAAATAAAAGTCAAAGTGATAATAACAATTTCTGGACATTTAAAAGTTTTTAAAAGCAGGAAAGGAGAAAAAAAAAGAATAAAAGGGCAGGATGTGGAAAAAATGGAGGAGACTACCTGGAATTAAGGAATGGAACTATAATTAAAAGGAACTTACAGTGAAATTTTAACAAATTCCTCAAAGATACATTTTAATTGAAACTTGATAACAAAATAATAGAACCCCAGGAAGAGAAAGTGGAAAAAAGAAGCAGAAAGAAACAGCCTTGGATTATTTGGATTATTTGCTGATTTTTGGTTTTTGCATTTAGATGACTAAAATTAATCGGGTGGTTGTTTAAAACTTTTTTAAATGGTATCACTCTTAGAAGAACTGAAAACGGAACTTAAAAATGGAAAGAAGATCACAAGAAGAGAGAAGTTCTTTTGGCTTCATGTTTCAATTCTTAGAAATGGAGATCTGGAACTATGAGAAGCAACGAGAAAGAACAAGAAGATTGGGACAAAGAAGAAGCCATCTTTAATGATCAAATAATTTTAAGTGGGGGGGGAGGAAAAGGGGGGAAGAGAGTGAAAGGTTTAAGACTAGAAAAAACAACCAAAAAGAAGAACAATTTGAAAGATAAGTATAATATTAGAAAGCAACAGAAGAGGGGATTACAGATGAGAGAGTTAGAAGTAGTGAGATGAGGGGGTAAAAAGGGGAGGGAGAAGAAGAGGGGGAAGAAGGCAAGGAAAAGAAGTTGTAAAAAAACAGAAACAAGAAATGGAGAAACAGAGAAAAGATATAAGGATTGTAACCATAAGCTTGTTTAGAGATAATGGGTGAAAATTTAATTGCAGAAGGGATTCTGCAAAGGTACATAAGATAGCATAGTTATATTACAAATAGAAATAATTTTAGAAAATATGATGATGGATAAAATATTTACTGTAATGTAGTGGGATGTTTCTTAATAAATAAATGAATTAAAATGATTGAGAAAATTAAAAGGGAACATATTTAATTATTGGTAATGATTTATAAAAATATAAGTGAGAAATATGGAAAAAAAGAATTAACTATGGAAAGTTTATAAGTGTTCCCAAGGAAGTATGATGTTTAATTGAAAAGAAATGTTAAAGAAGTTAAGATTTTAACTATTCACTGGATGCAATACTGTTGAAGACCATTACAACATAATTTTACTTGAAGTCAAAAGAGTCATCAAACTATATGTACCAATAACAACTCCCAAAACAAAAACAAAAAACAGATTACCCATAACAATAAGGAAACATCAATCCAAAAAGAGACCGCTCTGGCAGAAAAACAAATCTGGTCACGTTGCCAACTTCAAAAGCCGATACAAAATTTTATGCCACCAGATAAAGACTGAATGCACCAATGAACACATTAAACAAGAGGAAAACCTTCTACGCACTAATTCCAACCACGCTTTTTACAATTTTGTAAACAACAAATTAAAAGACTCAAGGTCCATCCCACCCCTGATAGGACCTAATGGTAAAGACTGCAATGACAAGACCATTAAAGCCAACATCTGTAACACATTCTTTGGCTCAGTATTTGTAAACAGCAATGGATCATGCCCAGTATTTTCTAGTCGAACCACAGACAACTACAATGATCTAATACATATTGATTTTACAGAAAACAATTTTGAAAAAGCACTACGTAATCTAAAACCATCCCTATCTATTGGACCGGATGGAATATGTGCCTACTTCTTAAAAAATCTATCCACTGTCATAGCAGAACCTCTAAGCATAATCTTTGAAAAAACTTTCAGGACCAGCTCCTTGCCTAACCTATGGTCACAAGCCGTGGTCATCCCAATCTTCAAAGAGGGAGACCCCAGCCTTGTTGAAAATTACAGACCAATCTCCTTATGCTGCATCACCTGTACAGTCATGGACTCAATTATTAACCAATCCATTATCCTCCACTTAGAGACAAACAACCTACTCTCCAATACACAATTTGGTTTCAGAAAAAAAACTATCCTGTAATCTGCAACTCTTATGCTGCAAAAATATATAGATTACACAACTCGATCAGGGCAAAGCAATAGACACAATCCACATAGACTTCTGTAAAGCCTTTGATTCAGTGGTACACGACAAACTACTCCTAAAACTAAAATCTTATGGTATCTCTGGACAACTGCATAACTGGATAGAAGCATTCCTGTCAAACAGACAACAAATGGTCAAAATTGGGAATGTCCTATCAAATCCTGTACCTGTCAATAGTGGTGTCCCCCAAGGCATACTCTACATAAATAACCTCTGTGATCATATTAAGAGCAACTGCGTTCTCTTCGCTGATGATATAAAGCTGTTCAATACCACAGAAAATACTGCTACCCTTCAAAAAGATCTTGACTATGTATCAGAATGGTCAAACAAATGGCAACTTCAAATCTCAACAAATAAATGCTCTGTCTTACATATTGGCAAAAAAAATATCAGAAAATAAAATACAAGCTGAATAGTCAAGACCTTGTTGATGATCCAAGCTCTGTCAAGGACCTTGGAATACTCATCTCTAATGATCAAAGTGCAAGAGCCCACTGTAAGTACATAGCCAAAAAGTCGTTAAGAATTGTTAACCTAAGCCTACATAGCTTTTTCTCTGGTAATATCACACTACTAACTAGAGCATAGAAAACATTTGCTAGACCAATACTCAAATAGACCTCATCATTCTGGAGCCCACATTACATATCTGATATTAGCACAGTTGAGAAAGTCCAGAAATATTTCACAAGAAGAGTTTTCCACTCCTCTACTTGTTGTAGAATACCTTATGCTACCAGACTTGAAATTCTAGACCTAGAAAACCTTGAATTATGCCGCCTTCGGTTTGATCTAAGTATGGTATATAAAATCATACATTACAATGACTTACCTGTCAATGAATACTTCATCTTCAACCATAACAACACAAGAGCACAGAATAGATACAAACTCAAGGTTCACCGCACCAAACTTGATTGCAGGAAATACGACTTCAGCAACAGAGTGGTCAATGTCTGGAATACTCTTCCTGACGCTGTGGTTTCTTCCCCAAACCCCCAAAACTTTAACCTTAGACTGTCTACTATTGAACTCACGACTTTCCTAAGAAGTCTGTAGCGGGCATGCATAAGCGCGCCAACATGCCTACCGTCCCTGTCCTATTGTTTCTTTTATTTTTCTTATATGTATCCATGTATTCATAACTATGTATATACATACCTATTATCTTGTAAGCTATTGACAAAGCAAATAAATAAATAAAATGTAGAGATAGAGACAATCATGCACACCCAAAGTATACACACATTCAGTGAACTTTTGTAGTTTTCTTCCACATAAATTACAGAGTTTATTCTGTGAAAAGTGGGAATGACTTTGAGAAAAACCAAAAGTCTTTGGAATTTAACATAGAAATATTTTTTCCTGCTTTCTTCTCACAGACTCTTTAAATATTTCCATCTCATTTGAAGCTTATCTTAAGAACTGTGTGGGCTGAGATTCCTCTGTGCTGGATATATGCTTTCTTGTCCTGTAGTATCTCCTATAGATGAATCTGTAAGTTAAAAATAAGTGACAGCTTCCATTTAACACCCACGCATAATGATATGACCCACTGCCAAAAAGGTTAATCAATAAGTGCCAGAATACTTTGCCACTGGATGTGGTAGCTACATTGGTTACTGACTTGGACTGCATTCTTAAAAGTTACCCAAACCCATTTTATAGAAGAGAAATTTTAAACAGCTACTAATCATTAATTGTATTCTAATTATTGCTAATAATTCTAAAGTCTTCAGACAACTGTTGGTCACTCACATGTATCCTTCAGGAAAGAATAACGTCCATCTCTGAAAAAATTCAAATTATCTTTCATGTGATATTTGTGGTTGTTTTTATATGTTACACTGGGCTTTAGGAAGTAACAAGTCTAACCTTCATTCTATGCATGATTAATGATACCAAACAATTGTGTTTTTAAAGAGAACAAAGGTAGACTACCCAGAGATGAGAAAAGTAATTACTGAAAAGTTTTCTATTAGATATTGAGAGTGTGGGCCAAACTTAATTGATTGCTTTAATTTTGTACACCATCCTATATCATTTATTTAAATGGTTCAAAACACATACAAATTGACTCAATAAATATGGGTGTAAGATAAATAGGATTTATGAAACTACATTGAAATTGGAATAGATAGAAAGGTTAGCATGATTTTGGCTGTGTAGGAGACATTTGCAAGGAACATGTTGTGATGTGAAAATACAGATATCCTTTGGAGATTAGAGTACACAACTTTGTGTACCATAAAGGAGAGACAAAAGCAACATGAATAAAACATAAGGGAAATAAATGAAAAATAAAACTAATTAAAATTGATATTACTGTACTTGCAACTAAATTAATAAAACTGAAGATGAATTGATGTAGAAGATATAAGTATGTTTCATACCTTCACAATTGCGACCCCATCATAATATTATTTTTAATATCCCACATGCTTGTTAGAAGTGACTATTTAACCTGGCATGAACTGGGGGCTACATTAGGATGATAATGATCAGATACATGAATTTTCTATATGAAAGCCAAACTTGCAGAGTATACTCATTTATGAAAGCAAAATCTGTGTCACACGTGCTTTGAAAATGCCTGTATGTACTCAGTGGTGATAGGCATTCATAGCTCCAATTCTCATTAACTTTAATTGCTCTTTAATGTAATAATTTTCTTGCAAAAATATTTTTTTTTTATTAGAAGCATTTTTAAAAGAGTAACAATACAAATTTTGAAAGGGAAAAATAAGGAAAATACAGTAATAAATATGTGAGAAAAAAATAAAAGGAATGGAGAGGAAGGGAGAAGAGACAAAGGGAAGGGAAGGGAAAGGAAAGGAAAGGAAAGGAAAGGAAAGGAAAGGAAAGGAAAGGAAAGGAAAGGAAAGGAAAGGAAAGGAAAGGAAAGAGATAAGACTTCTAATCTTCTTAACAGTAGTTACAAGCACTCCCCCCCCCTCTCTTGTTATGACATAATTTCCTTCTTTTCATGGTCTACTCTTTCTAATCATCAAACTCATATATCACAAGTTCATTTCTCTCTCTTTCTCTCTTTTAAAGCAAAACATCCATAAGGGATATAATTATGGAAACCCAGAAATCTCTAACAAAGTTGCAACAGTCTTCATTGATAATGATGCTTTTTGGAAACAGCCCAGTGTCTGTTTTACATTATAAACTGTTTCAGGATTTTATGTAAATGTATGTATTTCTATGTTATCCACGGCATTTTGTTGACTTCATTTTTATAAACTGATCTTAGACTGTAATAAAACAAAGACATACAAATGCTCAGTGGCATTGATTCTTCTCCACCAGCATCTGAACTGAAATCCTGAAAGCAAATTAGTGAAATCTTGCTAAATAAACAAATGAAACACACTTTGGGGAGGGAGGAATCAAACAATTTCTCCCAGAGGAAAAGTTGAATAATTTCTGGATTGTTTAGAGAAATTGGCTGAAAACTTTCCTTCCAGTTCACCGTCCAGAAATAAGGTGGACAGAAGGACATAAGCATATGGTTCCATTTACAAGCAACAGTTTTGAATATCCTTTTGATCAGACCCCAGCTGATAATGAAGAGAGAAATAATATCCTATTCCATATGGCATCAACAGCAGGAGTGTTATGCAGTGCTGGCATTAGGATTGAAGAATTATTTCTAACAGAAATAAAAAAATACCCAATTATATAGCTAACCCTAACAATCTGAACTGATCTCTCCACACATCATCCTTAGTGAAGCATGCAAACCAGTGTCTGTATTTCCTGGGTCAGATGAGGAGAGCACATCTTTCTCCTTCTATCCTGGCCACTTTTTACAGAGGCACGATTGATCACATTTTAACAAACTGCATCACTGTTTGATTTGGTGGTAGCAGTGCCTCAGATAGAAAGTCCATATAGAGAGTGGTAAGGACAGCCGAGAAGATTATAGGAAGCTTGCTTCCTGTTATAAGCAGGATACTGCTTATAAGTGCTATGTGCTTAGAGCTCAAAGCATTGTTAGAGACTCCACACATTCACTTTATGGTCTGTTTCTATTGCTTCCCTCTGAGAGGAGGTTTTAAAGTATTTCTAGCAGGACTATCAGATTCTGTAACAGCTTTGTTCCCTATGCCATCCGTCTGGTAAACTTGCAAGATTCGTTTTTCTCACCACGTACATGTATACATCCGAACTAGTGTTATTTCTCTATATAGTGAGAAATTTCTCTAGTGTTATATAATATATAGAATAGAATAGAATAGAATAGAATAGAATAGAATAGAATAGAATAGAATTCTTTATTGGCCAAGTATGATTGGACACACAAGGAATTTGTCTTGGTGCAAATGCTTTCAGTGTACATAAAAGAAAAGATACATTCATAAAGAGTCAAGAATCATCAGGTACTACACTTAATAATAGTCATAGGGTACAATAAGCAATCAAATCATACTAGGAAACAGTCAATATAAATCGTAAGGATACAAATGACAACATTACACTCATACAGTCACAAGTGGGAGGGGATGAGCGATAAGGAGTGATGAGAAGATTAATAGTAATAGTAGTGCAGACTTTGTAAATAGTTGGACAGTGTTGATGGAATTATTTGTTTAGCAGAGTGATGGCATTCAGGAAAAAACTGTCCTGGTGTCTAATTGTTTGGTGTGCAGTGCTCCATAGCTTCGTTTTGTGGATAGGAGTTGAAACAGTTTATGTCCGGGATGTGAGGGGTCTGTAAATATTTTCACAGCCCTCTTTTTGACTTGTGCAGTATACAGGTCCTTTATTTATTTATTTTATCATTTATTTATTTATTTTATCATTTATTTATTTATTTTATCATGCTTATGTAGTGTATATTGGAGGTGGTGACCCTTTGAGGGCTGTATACAATACGATTAGTGTACATTTAAAGTGACAATAAAGTTATTCTGAGGTTTATATCTAAGCTCAAATCTGTTTTACAACATGGTGCTTTCTGGAATAGCTATAGTTGTTTTCAATATTTGATTTAGACAAGTTGATCTATTAGGATGTTGAGATAGAACATCATTGCTCATTCCTGAGAGCACAGTTTTTGGTTTTTTAGGTGTCTCAAAGCACCAATCATACAAACACTAGTTAACTGCTGAAGAATCTGATTTGAAAATAATGATTAATTGTACTGTGCTGCCAGAAAAACAAATGTTAACAAGAAGTGCAAATATACTACGCCAAAGTACTTAGGTGTTGATGTACTAGTTTGTATTGTGGCAGTTAAATTATATTTTTGACTTCCCTCCACCAAAAGGAATTTTCAAGTATGTAAATCTCTAATAATTCTGCTGTCTCTTCTCTTGAGTAATGAACAGAAAGTTCAAAAGAAAACTAATCTGTGTCAATAGGAATTGTTACCGTCATCTGAAAAATACAAATTGTTTTTCCACCTCAATCCAGGGATGCAAAAAAAAAACAACCCCCAACCATTCAACAACCTATATCTGGAGGAGGAACTAATCCATTGAAAAGGAAGAAAATGTATAATGTGAAGATGAAAATTGTTACAGAATAAACATTTAGGTAAAAAATTATTGGTCTTGATGGACAAAAATAAAATGTTATGGTTTGTGTAAATTCGTGGAAAAATAAATTCAGAGAAGGGAGATTTGTATTAGGATGATTTCAAGAAAAAAATATAGTTGCTTCAATTCAAAATCCTCGAAATGATAGCAAAAAAATTAAAAAAGAAACTATATATATGCATACACACACACATATACACACATACACACACACATATACACACACACACACAAACACACACACACACACATATATGTATGTATGTATGTGTGTGTGTGTATGTATGTGTATATATATATATCTTCTTGAACTCATAGAAGAAGCTTTTCTGAATGTGTTTTTCCCCAAATCTTAGTGAATCAGGTTTACCAAAAGAAATGTTGAGAAACTCTCCCCCAAATGGTTCTATGCTATTATTTCTCTCTATTTCAGAAGCATAAATATCCTTAGAGAAATAATATATATTTTATATGATCTATTATTCTTCTGTTCAGAAAATGAACTGAACAGTAGACATGCATTGGATGTCTACTTCTTTATTAAGGAAACTATTAAAGTAAAATTTGCACCCCTTAGGCAGAGCATTATTTATTTATTCAATTTATATATAATCCAATAATTATAAGATTTCATAGAGAAATCCTTGGCTCAAAAAGATGGAGACTGAATTTCCTATTATTAGTGCAAGAAGATGTTAAATTTAAATACCAAACTGAGTTTAAATGCTTCTTTCAGATTAATTTAAATCACAGCAGGACAGCTAAAATGCCATAGAAAAACCAAAGGATGTATTGTGAAACCAAATGAAGGTTTTAGAACCAAGGCATTAGAAGAATCCATTATTGGATCTAGAACAGAAGCTTAAAAAGATTCATAATTGCCTAGATTTCATAAATAACTAAAAAGTTATTTATAGGATTTATTTAAAACATTAAATTTGTGAAACAAATATTTTGAGAAAAGTAATAAAGCAAACAAATTGCTTGCCTATCTACTACTACTACGAAGAACAAAAACTTATAACAGTTTTGGATGAGAGTTGTTTTTTTCAAATATTAATCTTGATTATATGGAAAGCAGACAAGAAGAATATCTTTTTCTTTTTTTATTAATTCTTATTATATTTTGCTTGGAAAAGGAGGGGGAAAGTGAAAGCAGAGAAACTTTGTAACACTGCCAACTAGAGGCTTGGAAATATTCTATTTCTCTTTTGACCAGACAAAACTGAGAAAGAACTGAGACTTCTTTTCAAGGACATTGCCTGTTTGATAAGATAGAGGGAAGAGCATGGGAAAGTATTATTGCAGGTGCTCTTCTGGG